ACTAACCAGCGGCGCGCTGAGAGAGCGCGTAATCGGCCGGTGAGAGCTACTATCAAGTTTTCGAGCATGTACCAGTGCACCGCAATAGCAGATGACCAGATAACGCGAATAAATCAGATAAAATGTACAACTGCAGCAGATGTCTTGAACACAGCACTCCAGGCGTGTTATTTATATGTAGATTTGATTCTACGTTCGGGAGCGTCATTGTCTCATTTTTGCGAGAGATCACAAGGCACACTGACCTGGATCACTTGGCTGGTGAAGCGCTTGAGTATAGTAGGCGGCAAGAACGAGTCGCCAGGCTCTCTCTGCATAAGCAGCAGCTTTCCGCCTTGGCAGATAAGGCTGAGCTTCGCACCCTGGCCGCGCTCTATAACGGCGCTCTGGATTTGCTCCAGGAGGCGGCGCAGCTTGCGCAAGCCCGGCTGCACCTTCTCCTTAGCCGCGCTGCAACGCTCCGAGTCGAGCCGAATCTCATCGATACTGGTGAAGACGCCGTTGCCGTTGTGTATCCCGAGGCAGAGGGCGGGGATCTGGCCGAGATACAGCTGGAGGTATGCATCCTTAAGATGAAACCGCCCCTTGCTGAGCTGCGAGCGGGACTTGATCTTGACGAGCAAGGGTTGCGGGACTGCGAAGCCTATATGCCGGACGTCGACAAGCTCAAAGACCTTCTGTTCCGTGCCGCTTGTACCGGACCCCACGTTCAGGGGTGATAATTGGTCAGTGAGAGTGTCTATGGAGGGCTGCTCGGAGATTCGGTACGCGTCGACTTCGTATCTCAGCACTATTTTGATACCAGACAAGTCCTGCATATATCGGCGCTATCAGCTACACACTACCGGAGTACGAGAGAGTGGGCTTACGTAGGCGATGATCTGATGGTGCCCCGCCAAAATACCCTGCTCGTGTCCGAGAGCATCGCGCGAGCTGGCGCGCTCAAATGAGTCCCCGAAACCCGACCCGTCTGAATTGACCGCGTCGCGCTCCTCCCACCGCCGGAATAGGATCGTCCAGGGCCCGGCGAGCTCGACGTCGATGCGGAACGCGCCTCGGTGCTTCTTTCCGGATGCGGGGTCCACCCAGCTCGCCTGGCGTATCCTGCGGCTTGAGCATGGTGTGGACAGGGTCTGGGAGCAGTCCATCCATAATGTCTCGCTTCTGGCTCTTCGCTGAGGTACCCTTCCCGCCGACGTTCCTCCCGCCAGGCCCCCGAGCTGGTCCTCGACCGCCGCCTGCGCCACCACGTACACCTCCCCTTCCTGAGCTTCCACGACTGCTAGACCCTGACATCTGGTTTGCTGGAGGATTAGCCCTGCCCTGGAGCGACGACATTTCGACAAAGCATACCAAGAGAGTACAAAAACAGCACTGTCGGCGAGCAGACTCGAAGAGTAGAGCAAAAAATGGAGAAAGTAAGGGCAGCGCTTCAGGGGTGCGTGGGACTTGCCCTCGATTCTGGTCTGAGGGCGTCTGCGATTGGCCTTGACCATGTATTGAAAAATCCTCGCGACAAAAGAGACGACGCGACTCGACATAATGTACAGCCAAATAAGGACGACCAGACGAAGACTGATGTTATTTGGCTTCACACTACGTAACAAGCATCTCTGGACCATGGCGTCTGTCTCAATTTTGCAGCCTAGATCTCAGCAACCACCGCATGCAGCTGAGGTGCCACTGGGTCTACGGTAATTTGTATATCTGCTTATATTATACCTGTAGCAGAATATGTCCAGTAAGCAAGGCGACACTTGGGCAGTTGGAATACTCACGGATACATCGAGCACGCTGCTTTTGGATGTATACCTGCGTTGTTGGATTTTCCAGGTGGAATGGTTTTCAGGCGCATTCTGCGTTGACAAACACAAGGCGTTCTAGGGAGCCTGTGTCCGACATTTGGGTGTAATAAATATCTTACAATGTGAGGAGAAGTGGGAGTAATCAAGGTCCCAAAATGGGCTAGGAAGACGTGGCAGTCGGTTTGTCGGAGACTCGACGGAGAGTGTCGGAAGACTAAGTTCGGTCAACGCCGCGCCACCAAGTGGAAGTCGAGGCGAGGCGGATCCAAGTCAAACACTCTGATGCACACGAACGCGCCGTACGGACATCCCCTCGGTATTGAGCGCAATCTGATATTAACCGGGATCACCCAGTGCGCCTTCAGTACCGTCGACCCGCTCACTCGAGCTGCACCAACCCCGAGGGCGACAATATCTGCAAACAAGTCTAGTCGATGCAAAGGCACAGCGAGTC